CTAGACCTGGTCAGGATTCTGGCTGCTGAATTATGGACATACTGCAGTTTGTTCAGAGTAGATTTAGATACCCCAGCGAGTAGAGCATTACAGTAGTCAATTCGAGAGAATACAAATGTGAATACAAATTGAACACAGTGAAGGGAAATGCTTCCTTTTGAGATGGCCATACAAAGACAGAAATGTGTGTGATCCTATCCTAAATCTCTCTTGTGGAAGAATAGACACTACCGAGTTTTTTTCTCACCCTGGTGTTTGTTAGTTACCCTGTGGTATAGAAATCTAGGTGGGATTTGAGCCGTTTATTTTTCCTACATCTGCACCTACATCATAGCATTAGCACAAGGTCACATGCGTTCTTTGTGTTTACCTGTGCGTATTGCTGGAGAAAGGCAATGCCTTGTGTTTGGCTGAGTATGAGAACGGGAATAAAGCCCGCCAAAACATTTTTCTGATCTTTTAATTCTATTAAGAGTCCAAAAAGTCAAGAATATTGTGAGATGTGCACCAGTGGAAATAGTATTTGAAGCAAGGTGAGTTCTGGTTATTTATAAGCCTTCTTTTGGGATCAATCTATGCATTAGACTGCTTTATGTATTTTTTTCTCAGATTCGCAGATGGGAGAATGCACTCATGCAGAGCTGTTTTGATGTGTTGTTAAAAGCAGTTTATATTTGAACCTCGTTTTTTCACAAGTTGTGTATTAAATAACATAATCACACATAAAGAAAAAATGCCTAGTCTGATACTTAATGGCACAAGAGGTCGATGAAAAAAAGTGAGGTCTCTATATCTATGTCATCAGTTTCCCTGCTATCCTGAACTGAAATACAGATGAGCGCACATTATCTACTGTATGCTGCCAACACTAAGAAGTAAGTGTTTTGCAAAATTGAGCATTAAAAACACTGACACACTTAACAAATGGATGACCAGGTTTTTTGTACTAATTTCATGGTTTATAGTTTGAATTCAAAAATGGTCATCCACTGAACCAATTCCCAGTGCTCCAGTAATCCTGATTTTCCACCTCGTCATTCCACAGTTTATTTGCTGTCTGCAGTTCCCAAACTCAGTCCACACCAGTCTCCATGGGATTTTTTTCAAAAGTTTTTGCATTTTTGTTCACAGTTTGCTATGAAACACTTTGCCTCCCAAAGACAGTGGAATAGTAAAGCCATCAGAGAACGCTGGAGAAAGGCAATGTCTTGTGTTTGGCTGAGTATGAGAATGGGAAATAATCCCGCCAAAACATTCTTCTGATCTTTTAATTCTATTAAGAGTCCAAAAAGTCAAGAATATTGTGAGATGTGCACCAGTGGAAATAGTATTTGAAGCAAGATGAGTTCTGGTTATTTATAAGCCATCTTTTGGGATCAATCTAGAGAACGCGTGACACTTCTGTGCAGGCTAAGGCACAAGCAGATGTAAAGCCATAAAGAGTTACACTGAGTTTGTTCATGTTGTGGCAACCGTTTCTCCAGCATGACTTTCCTGTTGTCTTATTAAGGTAAATGGGTAAGTTAAATAACTACTGTATGGCTCCTGTAGATCGTTGATTAGGTCCTGCTGAAATCATGAATGGAAGGCATGAGTGCATAAACATTGGGAGAACCTGTGATTCAGTCAGTCTTTTTTTTCTGTCCACTAAGCATATTACAGATGAGATATCATCCCATCATAACCAAGACAGCGTAGAACTGTGCTGGATCTGCAAGACCTGGTCTTCTACTGTTTTCTGCTGTCTAGGGAGTGGTGCTGTTTACACTCTGAGCCCACAAGCAACCATGATTGAATCCCTGCATGGACAGAGCAGAGCAACATGCGGATAACATTGTTATTTCTCTACTAGGTTATGCCCACGTTGGGTTTGAGATCTTTTTTTCTAGCAATCATGTAACCCATCTCAAGATCTGATGATCTGATGTTTTTGTGTCTCATGATCTTATCTAATGTCTAAATGCTTATTTCAGTACAGGACTGCTTATGTAATTCTGGACGCTATCACTGGACATGAAAATCACCATGACTACTCTTATAACTAGTCAGCATTGAGATATACTGTGGTCCAGCATGTTCACAATGAGTGGGTCGTTGTACAAGCTTCAGCTGTAGCTTTCAAGCCTCTCGGGTTCTCCTGACTAAGCATGTTATAAGCATTTCATTGGGCAGAATGTTCTCTGATCTCTAGGTGTCAGTTCTTACTTGGTGCCCCAATCTCTTGTGAGGTCTCCATGATGCTATTGCCCTTCGCTAGCATGCTAGCATGAATTGTGACTTATTTGCTGCACAAAATTTGAACAGGTTAGATTTGTATTGTACTATTATTATATAATTTGTTACACTGTGGCTGTGTTGTCTGTGTTAAGCTGCTGTTGCACTGCAATTTCCCTCACGGGATCAATAAAGTATCTATCATCTATCTATTTGCTCTGAATTGCCTCACCTCATCACTGTCCTGTCTCCTGATATTTAGCGTTTTAATGTAGCAGTGCGCTTGTGTTATGTAATAGTAGAATAATAGAAGCTGCGGTAGTTTTTCAAATGTCCGTGGAGGGATTTTAAATTGGACTAAAATGGCTTTTAACAATAAAAAAAGTACACAAGATAATGGATTGAATACATTCAGACTATGTAAAATAACACTTTGGAGAATGATTAGGAAATAGATATTTCCAAATAATTCAAATATATTGTGTTTCTGATGTAGGTTTGTTTTATTAGTAATATTAGTGATTATGCTGCACCTGTTGCTTAAAACACAGAACACTAACTTTTTTTTGCCATTTTGCATCTTGTAACTCTGTGCTGGTGGAGGTAATAATTGAAATACTGTAGGTGGATCAATAGACAGATGGTCTGGCAAGGTTCACCAGGCAGGTTTATTTACCACAGCAGGACGGGAAGATTAAATCTTCCAGCTGTGACCCAGAACCCTGGCTGACAGAGGCCACCTGATTGTTATTTGTTGTCAGAAAAATTCTAAAATGACACAAAGCTGTGTTCATTTAAATTGGCCCCCTTCCACGCCGAAGAGGATGCAGGAATGGTACTGTGTACGGCTGGTTGCTGGGGCAACTACTGTATATCGCCTATGGCAGAATATCAGAGGGAGCTGCGACTTCATTATTATTAGAACAGAATAGTGCGTGGAGAAGCCACATTGTGCTGTTGTACTCCTGAGAAGGGTGTCAATTAATTGTGCAACACCCTGCCC